TAAGTAACCAATCTTGTATCACTCATCTCTCTCTCTCTCTCTCTCTCTCTCTCTCTCTCTCTCTCTCTCTCTCTCTCTCTCTCTCTCTCTCTCTCGTGGTCTTCTTGTTGCAGGTGTGCGGCGTCTTCTTCCACCTCGAGGTCCGCTATGGCGGACTGCCTCCTCCGGCGGGCACTTCAGCTATGGCACCTCGGCCCTACACACATCGCGCGCGTGGAACAGCGGGTACCTGCACCGATACCAGTGCAATCAGACTCGACTTCACACTTCGTCAAGCATGCAAACAGCGATTCAGCAAACTGGCGACATGCGCCCACACAGTGCTCAAAGATATCGTAACCAGATAAGAGTTCTCTTCCACTGGCTATGGCGTCTGAGCGCCCACACAACTCACTGTTCGCACTCTGGATCACCCTGGATGTCCCACACGCAACACTGTACATACACGCGACACGCACACACACGCTACTATAGCTATGGCAGCTATGGCTGCCACTACCCTGTCGCTACACTACACTTCTCTGCCCACTTCGTCTTCGGGCGTACTGCAGACCTCCTCGCACAAGCTGCTGAGGCAGCGCTTCCGCATGGCATCCGCAGGAATGAATGAATGGCTGGACGCAGCCTCTTGATTTATACTTCTGCGCTGCGTTGGTCTGCCCTGTGTCAACGGAGGCTCATTCCGAAAGGCCACTTCTAGAAACCTCCGACTTGGCCTTTTGGTGTTGTAGCAGCTACGACTTTGCCCCTTCAGGTAAGTAGCAGCTACGGCCTCGACCTTTCAGACAACCTACAACTACGACTTCAGAACTGTCTAGACTCCTAGCCTACATGTCTACAGTTCGATTGCCTTCCAAGCTGTGGCCTACGACAATCTACCTACCACTGGCGTTCCTACATGTCGCAGGTTCAAGTCTACGGGTTGACACTGATACTGTACACAGGTAAGATGGGGATCTAGGGATCGAGCCCTGGGATCTGCATTCGCTACCGCGGACTGGTGAATACCGTTTCAGTATCCAGCTCTTCAAGTGGCCCTTCTTATTCCTACCGTTTGAGTCCCCAGCCCATGAATATTCCAGGTTGCTATATTAAGCCTGCCCATCTGGGGTAATAGCCCCAGTTGGTTGGATCTGGGTTGGATTGCCGGTTGCCGTTGTATCCTGTGGCCAGGACTCCATCAAGGCTGCTTTGAGGAATTGGGAATCGAGCTTTTTGTCTTTTCCCAGTTTCCCATTCAATTCATACAAGAACTCAGCAGTCAGGGACGGGGCAATCTTGATTCTTCGAAGGTCAGGCTTCCTTCCATCCGCTAACCAGGCCAACGGAACCAGGCAGAGTCCTTCACTCTCCAACTGTTCCAGTTGACCTGGGAGGAAACGAGCATCAAATAACGGGGCATAATACTTGGCTCGCCTTCCGGCGAGATGGACTAAAAAACGCGGCATGGCTACATCGGTGACAATACGAAAAGCAAATCTGTTCTGATACAAGTTACAGGCTAGAGTTTCAGACGCGTGTGACATGGGAGATTCAGGGCATGTCATACTAAGTAAGAGAGGGTTGCCATCCACACCTAACCAGGAGATTACCCAGAAAGAATAGTGAGTCATTGTACATACGATTGGCAGCAGTTTCATCTCCATCACAGTCTGACACTTCGAAAGCGCATCCATGCGAGCTCGAGGGGTTTTACACTTACCTGCTGCTGCTGCTGTCGCTGAAGATTGAAGCGAGCCTTTGTTAGAGCTACCAGAGGCCTCCATCTGTAGGCCATCCACTCGGATTTCCACACCACCTCCTTCACTTACCCGTCATTGTTTTCCAGGGGATTCCCCACGGACACGGCTGATCCCGGCGCCTGGCACCGAAGCTTCAGTAGGACTTGTCGCATGCTGCATGGGAGGGAAACCTCCACCTCCTGGAAATTGCCCTTGAGGAATGCCCATCGGTCCCTGATTCCAGGGGACAAAGGCATGCAAGGTAGCATATGATGGGCTACCTCCCAGAAGAGGATCGACCTGTGGCAATCCTTGCTGTTGCATCAAGTAGGGCTGCAGACTCTGCAGAGGAATCCCATGTAGATACGCTGCCCATGTCGGTTCAACGCAGGGTTTAGCATCCCGGCTTGAGGTTGAACGCTGGAAGACAGATGCCCTCCACCCGGAGCCGGAGAGAAGGTTGGAGTTAATCGGACTGAAGATCCCGCCCAATCGTTCGACGTTGCTGCTGCTGATGGTCCCTGTGACTGGCCCTGCTGTGCTGCAGCGCTAGGGGCCCGGAGGGGGCCATTGTATGCAGGGCGTGTTCTTCCTGCAGCTCCAGACGAAGTGGATGCTTGTTGTTGGTTCAAGGCGGTGGCGCCCTGTGTTCTTCGGCTTGGCCGTCTGCACGTCTCCTCCGTGTGGAAAAAGGTCCAACAACATTTGCACCATTCCGACTCTTCATGTGCCAACTTAACTTCCAGCATATCCCCTTGGAGGGTCATCATGCTGATCTTGTCCTTTATGTTGGTCTTCATCGCTGGCTCTATGTCGAAGCGTAAGTTAACCAACTTCGGATCCGTCTCATCCGTTTCCGGGAGATGGACTTTGAGGATCTTGCCGATTGCTCGTTCCACGTGAGCATGGAGATACAGCATTTCATCCAGTGGGATGCCCACCGCCACCACTCAAAAGGTGTTCTCATCAACTGTTTTTCTCCAGTCTCTCACTTCGGCTCAAGTCATGGCTTGAACTCGGTGTGGTATGTTGTGCCGGCAAGATCAATGAAGTCAGTCCTCTTCGTGAGCAACCAGTCGGTGATATCCAGCGACCTTAGGATGTAAGAGACAACATTCGGACTCTCCACCTTGATTCTCCCTCTCTTGAATTCTGGGCCGAAGTGGTCATCTCTGATCCAGCTGTCTTCGTATGCACGGATGCATCTTCTTTGACTTTCTTCGGTAAGAAACGGCCGCCTTCACGAAATATTACCGTGACAGTTCACTGTTTGAGCCATTTAATTTTGATCTCATCGAACGAACTGTTCAAGGTAAATTTGACGCCCATCCCATTAACCTCCATCACTCCTGGATCGATGTCGGTGGGAATAATCCCATCCTTGTAGCAAGCCGATTCATCTCCTTGGCCCGTTCGTCTTCCAAGTGATAGTCGCTTGGTACTTGTCTTCTTGCTTTGGCATCCCCACCTCCTGGCGAGGTACTCTTGGCCCCCAAGGGGGTATGCTCAGCCTCCATCTCGTTGTTCCTACGCTAAACACATTAAAAAAAAAAAAGGAGCACCTTCTATCTCGAAGGTCGGGGACACGTCAACCGCTTACTGCAATTCTCCGTCTTTTGCAGGGTGCGATCAGAAATTCTAAACGCTGGCAGCGTCAGCTATGGCTCCAGCCATAGGCCTTGGTCAACGCAAAGGTGATGCGATGCCACGTACAGAAGCTGGACCTCGATCGACCAGACCGCCGCCGGTCAGGCTTGTCCCGGACAAGCGGCGCTAGGGCCGAGCGTATTAGCGCCAACCGTAGCGCCAAGGACCCGACACCCCCACTACTCCTAATTATAGTCATACAGGGAACCCCGTAGCAGCCAGAACTGTGTTCACGAGAGAACATGCGGGGGCTGCTCCCGACCTGCAGGTGGGCGATACCGGCCAGGGGACAGACGGTAGCATCAGGGACCATGCCAACAGGACCAATCCC